CTTCCCCTGCTTGAAATGCTCTTCTCCTAAGATGTCCACATAACTGCTCAGATGATATCAGAGAAGCAACCAACCTAATTCTTTTATCCTTTGTTTTTCTCTATGAAAAATGTGTATTTGAAAGAAATTTCAGATTCTATCTTTTTTATCTAGGTATTGTCTTTCTCTCACCACTATAATGTTAGCCCCCAAAGACATTACTTTGTTTTGTTCACTGTCTTACCTATTATCAACTACTGATATCCTTCATTATCATCAGTTTATAGCAAATAAAGAAACTGAAGCCCAGAGAGGTCAGAATAACGTGCAAAGCCACAAAGCTAGTGAGTGAAAGTTACAAACCAAAAAGGCATAAAGGAAATGAAGTAGGATGATATCACAAGAATAGGTGAAAATGATGAGGAGTAAAAGAACAAAATAATTATTTTAACACCTTTATGCTAAGCATAAAAATAATTATGTCAAATGAAAATAAAATGTACATAAACAATATAAACATCTCTTTAAAAGCAAATAATGCAGGGAAAGAAAAAGTTAATAACTGTCTTGGGGTAATGAAGTTGTGGGGTTTTGTTTTCTATTATTTATACCCTACATGGCAGTTGTTTGCACACTTTTTCTGTAAAGGGCCAGAAAGTCAATATTTTCAGCTATGCAAGCTGTATGGTGTATTGTTATTACTCAAGTCTGCTGTTGTGTAAAATAATCACAAACAATATATAAATAAATAGGTGTGGCTGTGTTCCAATAAAACTTCATTTATAAAAATAATAGGCTGGATTTAGCCCCTGCAGGTCCTAGTTTGCCAATCCTTACTATAGAGGATATAAAGTAGTACCAAAGATACTATAAACTATTATATCTGAAAGTTAACTTTGTTATTACTTGAAAATAAAGAAATGCAAAGCTTAGTAAACTCTTGCACATATGACCCCCAAGCAGAAATTTTAAAGCAAACAGATAACTAGATACAGGTTGTGTACAACCTCAAGGTAAATATTTTATTAGAAAGCAGGGTCAGGAAATAAGTGGTGTTTTTTTTTTTTTTTTTTTTTTCCCCAGAATGTTTCCTGCAAATTGAATTTTCTAAGGTTTATCAAGAAATGAGCTGTAAACCTACTTTAAACTTGAGGACTATAAGACATAGGAATTAAACCAAAATGGCTTTAAACTTGCTAACCCTTCCTCTTATCTAAAGATAACTTTTTTAACCTAAGGCCTTTGAATATTGAGAATTATTTAGCTTAAGTTCCATGTAGTGAACCCGAACAGTTGTGACTTAAAAAGAGCCTATATAATACTCAGCATTTGAGAAAAAATTAACAAAATTTTTTAGATAGAGAACTGAATTTTAGACAGAAAAAAGCTAGATGATCACATGTCAGAGTTGATGTTCAGGACTTCATTGGGTAGAAGGCTAAATAACTAATGGAAGCCCCTATAAATCTGAGAAGTTCTATGTCTAACTCTGGAATAACATGCTTTTCTGCCTATAAACTGATGGCTGTAGCCATTTCGCTATGCCTCACTGAAGAGTGCCAACATTAAATTGCAGTAAGAAATGTATATATGTAATGAATACATTGTAATGTTTCTGAAACTTGTTCTGAGATTGTTAATGCCTATGCCTACACACACAACCTGATCTAGTTCATCTATTACTTTGCACAGTTGTAGCAATATATACTTCAACTACAGAGCACGCTCTATAGTTTCTCTGCTGCTCTGTCAATTACCATCTTACTGCTTAAAGAGTCAAAATATTGACATGATCCTGAATAAAGCAGAAGCTGCTATTTGTGTAAATTATATACAATACCCAGAAGCACTGGGCATACCAATGAACTAATAACATACATTTGCATTACATTATAATCCACTCTCAATTGCACATGATGTTAAGTTTATTGTTCCTACAGAGTATCAGAGTTGTCAATTTAAAGATAAATGAGAATAGATGTTGAAAAAAAAATTACATTATAGAAGACTTAAAGGGATCTAAATCTAAAATTATCTTCAACTTGCATCCATCATTAATTCTCTTCTATAATGTGTTTCTCTTTAGATATAACACATTAAAATAAAAAAAAATATTTTTTTCTCTATTACAGATTGAAAACTAATGTGGAGTAAAACACACTTTCGTAATAAATGGAAAACAAATGTTTTATCTCATAGGAAAAGAAAACATGACCTTTATTAGAATATATATATATGTATATTTTTAAATTATTACTATTGCTACTATAACCCTTGCCTTTTAAATGAGCACATCTACTTCCAACTGACACTTATTCTCATGTTATCTTCTTGAGATCCAAGAACTTAGATGTGGAGAATTAAGGGACAGGTCAGAGTTTATATAGTTGACAGTAAAGCCAATTCTAGAACTCGTGTGTCCTATATCCACTGGCACATATAGACTGTATCTAGGTGAATTTGGATAAGGTTCAAATTTCTTAGCAAGGCATGAGAAGATTTTCATTATCCAGCCAAAGTAACCTCTCATCAATCTCCTCTTCACAATTTGTGAATATTCTCTCTCAATTTATGTTTTCGTATCTGTTGTACCATCTATCAGAATATTCTCCCTCCTTCATCCTCCCTCTGGGAAACTTCTTTTATTACTGTATCAAAACCAAGCTAAACGTCAGTTCAGCTTTCCTAGGTATTGCGGTACTCCTTCCTTCCTTGCTTATTCCGAGCACTGAATATAGCATTTGCGTGCTGAATTACAATTATTTTTCTATCAGTCTACTTTCTTGTAAATAGCAAATATTTTATTTGCATCAGGTATCGAAATATAACTGAATGAAAAATAAATGAAAGAAAAGTAAATTTTTACTGAGAAAATAGAAAGTATTACATAAGGTCTTCTGAGAGTTCACATTTCTATATTAAAATGTCATAATGTTATTTTTATATAGTTTTGTCTTGTAGCCTACTTAGGATTGTGCTTTTTTTCCTTCCTAAATAAGGCACTGAGAAAATAAAATAGTACTAATAGGAAGAAAAATCTTATTCTTAGTATATATAAATCTGTAACCTCTGACATCAAGCAACTAACTCCATCTGTTCTTTCTTAGGTTTTTCCCCCACTCCCGCCCCCCCAAATTTTGTATATAGCAATTGCTTCTAATTATCTGGCTTACTAAATCAGGAGGAGAAAACCAAAAGACAGAAATGGTCTCTACAGATAAACAAAAAGTAATTATCTACAATTTATTTATTTATATATTTTGTATAAGAGAATATAATACAGAAATTGCAAAAAAAATACATGGTGAGTTAAAAATTAGTAGACTGCCAAAGAAAAGTAAAATCAGAAGTTATTACATAAGGGCTTCTTTTTAACTTTTTAAATGAGTCTACTATTTTACAAGAAATTTTCTTTTTTCATAGATGTCTGTAAAATAAAAATAACAGAAGAAATAAAGCAGCAAATAATTACTGGTAAATAGAATAGAGACTTCTAATTCTTTTAGGTATTCCTGTTAAAAATCTATATGGAAGACAATACTGCTTGTGAAATTTCTTTGCATCCTAAATCTCAGCTTGAAGTCAGTGAGCCATGAAATGAAACCTTGGAGAATTCTTGCCGTACAATGGAATGATGGTCTTAACACAGGTTTCATTCCTTTTGCTACCGACTCCCAATGTGTTTAATAAACTAGCTACTTTGAATAAAGTATGTTGCTAAAATCCTACATCACAGATTAAAACAGGATAGAAAAATATATATAAAGAGCTAAAAAGTTACCTGCAAGAAATATTGTTTTTCTACTACAGTAATTTAACGCAAATGTATTTTGCTTAATAAATACATTTATATAGTTATAAGAGTAAATATGGCCTTGACTATACCTTTTTTAATATGGAGATGTTCCTATAAACATTTGCAAATATTTCATTTTCTCACCTAATGCTCTTCCAATATGCAGAAAGTATTAATCTCTTACCATATTAAATTTGAACACAGAAATCTGGTAGTTAACTGATGAAGATCACAAAGTTTGACAATGTTTACTCAATATAGGTATTTCTAATTCCAATCTATAAGACAAACTAGAACAAAAAATATTGATCATAGTGGCTTCTTAATTTTGAAGCCATAAAGCAAATGGGTAATTGAATAAATGCAAGCAAGAAATAGGCTGCAGATATGCACAATTCCATGTACGCACCCAAGTATGTGTGGTTAAGGGTGGAAGGAATAAAAATGTTGAGAACTGATACAGGGGAAGAAGACTGTCAGTGTTACTCACTGAGTTTCAGACAGTGTTTTGTTCTCCTGCAATATAAAATGAAGTCTTACAACTTTTCAAGCTCCATTTCCAAGGTCAAGCATTCAGAGGACTCAAAAAAACATCAATGTTTCCTCAAACTACAGTTGTTTACCCAACAAGAGCTTTACTTCATTCTATATTCAGTTTGTTTTTAATTAGACACTTGAACCTTACCTCTTCCCTATCCTGATATCTTTTTCTTGACCCTTCTACCTCCAAACCATAAATTAGACTGTATTATCTGTCTGATTCATAACACAGTCTGGTATGTTTCAAAGAGATTTCTAACTATCCTATATCTTCCTCTTCTGACTGATCAAAATATTTAATCCCTTAAACATAATGTACCAAGATAATGTTTTTCATCTTGCTTTACATACTATAAAATACTTTTTTCTCCCCATTAAAATCTCATGAGAGAAATCATACAAACTCTGCAAAAACTCTAGCCAGAGAAAATCAATGCACAACAGAAGCTATACTTTGAAATTCAATAGCCAGGAAAAGAGAAAATTATAGTCTGTTAATGATTCAGAATAAAAACAAAAATTATATTGTAATAAGTAGCATAGAAATTAGGAAATTAGTCACATAATAAAGTTTAAACTTTAATGTCTCTTACAGTCTTGGTATTTGTTATCAAGAAAAAAAATTTAAGTTGATAGCACACGCTTTAGTTTGTCTATTTCAATCCATCAATATTTTAAAGGATACTCAGTACCAGAATAATGTGTGACTCTGCCACGAATTGAGCCTGGCTGCTTCCATGAATGTAGCTCTATAAAACAAAATAAGACAAAGAAGCAAAAATTACAATCTGGGGAAAAGCAAATTTTTTCAGTAGTTTTTTAAAATTTTGTAGTCTTATTTATGTCATGAAGATAAAAATGGAAAAATCTATTAAGCTATTTATAATTCTTTTACATAAAACAATTATTAATTGTAAATAAGAGATGAAAACAGTGGTAGTTGATATTGTAAACTGTAGAAAGCAACTTAATATCAAAGTAAATTTAACTAATGAAAACACATACACACAATGTAATGATTTTTCGAGTTACTGCAAAATGTACTTGATAGCATATGGTACAGATTAGAACAACTAAGTGTACTGATTTTTCATCCTTTAAAACAAATCAAAAATGAACCATCAGATGTTAAGTCACTCTTTTCCACATTATCAACGTTTTTAAAATAAGGATGTAACTATATAAATGTATTCGTATCCTTAGAACATTTTAATTGAATTTTTCAAAATAGAATTATTAAAATAGTTTTTACTTCATTGAGAAATGTACAGTTTTCCATAGTTAGTAATAACTGTATTAGGTGATACCAGTCAATTATAGAAAATATGACACAAAAATCTCCAGTTAGGATATTTTGCTTCTAAAAAAACTGACCCTCATAGTATTTCAAATATTAATCTCTCTATGAAAATTACTTGCTGTACAGTTGCTTTAAATAAGTCCTTTTCTATGTTCTCTGTTTAAAAAAATTCTAGAGAAAAAAATAACACCTATGATATAAAAATGTCCTCAATTTTACATCACATATGAAGAATAATTGTATAATCTGAGAAGGACCACTTTGATCCTTCTCAAATTTTTCTTCTGCTTTTATTTTTGACAGTACATATGGTAAAAGCATGTATGCTTTAGTGGACAGAGTATTTAACTAGGAGTTAGAAAACTGTTCTTTCTTGGCCTTAACCCTAGACATGTCATCAAATGTCTCAAATATTCAATATTCCCTCATTTATTAAATGAAATAAAATTAGATGATTCCTACGATGTCTTTGAAGTATATAAAGTCTCTTTGTTTTGTCATTAATTATGTCTTGATATTTTCCTGTAAAAACTGTTTATTATTATTCTGATCTAAACTGTCTTTGTTTCCATCTAAAAATTTCAGTAATTTCAGAGTACAGCTGCCTCATCCAAAGGTGTGTTTAAATGCATTCAAGCAATCTGGCTAAAAGCCATTTCTGGTTCATTCACATTACAGCTTCTGAAGAATCCTATTACATATGTTTTCTTCTATCTATTGGAATGTCCTTATATGGAGACGAGTACAGCTTTGAAAACCCTCAGTCAGAAATAAAGGTTTTATTATTCTAATAATTATACCAGCAAGGATAATAGTAAATATAACCATACCAAGTACTAGTAACAACAGTACCATTTATTCTCATTTTGTGTAAGACACTTAAAAGTTGTATATGCAATATCTAATTTAATTCTAATAATCCTACAAGGTAGGTATTTTTATTACAGCCATTTTATAGATATGGTAACTGAGGTTTTAGAGATACGAAGATACTTGCCCAATTTTCACATCTAGGATATGCTGAGATTTGAAATCAAGTCTCTTTAATTTCAGATCCTGAGCTCTTATTCTATATACTACCTTGTTATTTACTGGACATTTGACCGGATGCTTCATATACATTATCCCATTGTATCTTAACAACCACATAAAATTATCATCATGTTATCTTCCAAGTGAGGAAACTGGGACTTAGATAAATTAACTAATTTGCTTAAGATTGCAAAATTAGTAATTGGTGAAATTTGGACTGAAACCTAGGTCTGATGACCTCCAGGGTACGTGCCTTTTCCACCATTTTATAGCCACTTATCAAAAAGAAAGAAATCAAGTGAAACTTTTTGTAAAAGCTTTATCTGGCAATCACGTAATTAAATGTTGACCATTAAAGTAATTCAAGTCAACATTTATAAGACTAAAATATGTGAATATAGTAATACTGGACAGTATGCCTAGATTTATATAGTGACTACAGAGTAGTATGTCTATATTAGAATCACAAATTTAGAGAAGCAAGCTTGGAAGCTAAGCAGGGTTGGGCCTGGTTAGTACTTGGATGGGAGACCACCTAGGAAGACCAGGTGCTATAGGCAATAAATAAATAAATGAATGACTAAAAATTAAAATTAAAAAAATAGAGAAGCAAGAACTTCAGACATTTTCTAGGTGAGTGGTTTCAAAACTTTTTGGTTTAAGTAACTGAATCTTCTCTGGTCAAAGTTACCAACAGACTTCCACATTTCAAATCCAGTCAATGGTCGGATCTCAGTCCTGCTTGATCAGTCTGAAGATTCTGCTGCATGTGATATTTTCTTCGTAATATTTTCTTCACTTGACTTCTAGGTTGCCACTCTGGATTCTCCTACTTTACTGGCTCCTCTTCCTCAGGCCCTGTGGCTGTTCCCTCTTATCATTCTAACTAAATTCTGGAGTAACTCAGAGCTACATAGACTTAACCTTCTTCTCTATATTTAACCTTCCTAGGTGTTCTCATCCAATCCCATGACCTTAATTATCATTTCTATACTGATGATTCCTACATTTATTTCTCCAGTGCAGTCATTTTAGACTTGTGTACTGGTCTGATATGTATCCACCTCCACTTGTAATCTAATAGTCATTAATAGACTGCACTTGGAAGTATAAAATTCAAAATGGTCAAAACAAACTTATGATGTGCCTCCCTTTCTATCTCAGAAAGAACAACTTAATTTTTCCAGTTATTTAGGCCAAAACCTTGGACTCAGTCTTTTCTCTCCTTCCCATATCACCAATCATTGACTGTTAACTCTACTTTCAAAATCCATTCCAAATTCAACCACTTGTTACCACTTCTAGGAGGCCCTGACAAAGGAACCTGATTGATTATATCAGATTACTGTCTGGTCCAAGTAGTCATCTCTTGCTTAGATTACTGCAATAGCCTCCTTTGTTCTCCCCTCTGCTATCCTATAGTCTAATTATCAGATTAATCCTGTTAAAGCTAATTAGATTCTATCATTACATTATGGGAACCCTTCAATTCTTTCTCAAATATATGAGAAAAATATCATTCAATCTATTATCTGCTTCCTCAAAATACCAAAGAACCTACATATCTCTAATTTAAAAAAAACAAAACAGCTAGCTTAAAAAATTCTACACTTGGTCCTCAGAGGCTTATTTTACCGTAACAAATCTGTAACACTTGTGGTTTGCTTTTTGTATATATGAGGCAGTACACAGTAAATGCTCATAGGCAATCCCTAATCTGCTACTTGCTAGTTATGTTATTGTGAACAAATTACTTAACCTCAAATATCTCTTGTTTAATAGAAATAAGAAGATATTCCTCAAAATACTGTCCTAAAAATCAAAGAAGATAGTCATGTTAAGTACCTATGGTAATCAAAAATAATCAAGGATAAATCATTTTAAAGTCTCTATTCCAAGACAATTTTTATCTTCTAAACATTAGATGAGCATACTGAAATGCCATTCAGAAATTCATTTTATTGTCAAAGGTGAATTTATTGTGTTGAAATGATATAAAGATGATATTCAGGAACCTGTGCTAACATTCAACTTTTGTCTATCTTCTTTAGTTATCAAAATCATTTTAAAGACCAGATACTACAAAAGACTTGAAGATTTAATAAACTAGAATTCATTTAATAATTTTTATTGAACAATTATTATGTACCAGGCACTGATTTAGGCAATGAAGATCCAGTGTAACAAAAACAAAATAAAAAACTTCAAAAAACTATGTTCTCATGAGTTTATACATTCAAACTTTGAGAACATATTTTGTCTACCAAGCTGTAACAGATATTTTTGGCAAATACTGAAAGCCATACAAGCAAACACAAACATAAAAGGACAAACAAGCATTCCAGAGGTCTTAAGCACTGACCCTAGAAAAGGATCTTTCACTTAAGCAGCCATATAAAGCCATGTAACGATTTAATTAAGACAGAACTAAGGTTCACATTTTTAAGCTCTTCTTAAAATTCTGTATTTAACTGATACATGTACTTTCAAAATTCTTTATAAAAGTAATAAGTAATGGTTCCTTTATAGCTTTAGCATATATATTCATTTATATTCTTTCCCTCTCTGATTTTTACTAATTTTGATAAGAGATTTTAGTAGCTAATGGTAATTTAATCCTTAATATATATTTAACTTGCATTTATAACCATAATGTATTTGCAGATCTGATGACTAGTCAAGAAAATTTGCATGTCCTTTCATAGTAGATACATATGTTTTTTTCCATGAAGACAAATGGTTCGACAAAACCATTAATATAAATGTTCCTCATCTGTCCAGTCCACTGAACACTTTTTAGAGCATATGAACTAAAATCAAAAAGAATGATTCATAAATATTACTTTATCAGAAAGTGCATTACCATGACTTAAAAGCCAATTTTATTCAGAAAATTAGATGATTTGAAGTTTGCATAGCATAATATAAATAAAACGAATAACTCTTCATTTCAAGTAACATATTTGAAAATAAAAATTAGTGTATTTTGTTTCATACAATAATTCTAATACCTCTTACATAACAGAATTAGAAAAGAAAATGAATATGAAACTAAATAAAGTATATGCTAGTAGATAAAAGAAACATCATTCCCTTTAATTTATTCCTAAATTCTTGGAAGGTAATATCAGTCATTATGTTCTGCTTTTTCAATATTATTTTAATTTTATGCATAGTGAGTAATCATTAAGGAATCCTTTCATGCACTTAATGTTTTGAAAATAATAATGGCCAATGTGGACCAACAGGTTGTTTTCCGAAAAGGCAGCCGTAGTAATGTAAAGCACACTGAACTTAAGAGTTGAGAGTCTCAGTTTCTACTGATAATATCCATTCAATTTAAGAAACTAGATGTTAATCTTGGTCAGTCCAATCACCTGGGTCTCAGCTTCCTAAACTATGAAATAAAGACACAGA